GCGGTCCGGATCCGGACCCATTTGCTGGCTAATTCAGACCCAACCTGGTTTAAAACATTAATAAATTACTGCATGTTGTCCAACAACAGTGTCTAACTTCACTTGCGTTGCTTCTCCTGTTAATACGGAAAAGCCGGAGCGTCCAGTACTAGTCTACAAGTGATCCAAATCAGCCAGTGAGTTGCTGTCAGTCTGGGTTGCTGCTGCTGCTACTTTTAGACACAGCAGGCAAACCTGTGGCAAGCCGGGAGATGGGAAAGAAGGAGAAAATGAGAAAAAGAGAGCAGAGAAAGTGTGGACTGCTGGAAGAACTGCGGTGAACTGGTGAAAGTAAAATGGCGTGCTCAAAGATGACCCTGCACATTTGAGTATGTTTGGTTTAACCTGCTGCTGTAAAGCAGGATTCTCCAACATGAACAGAATAAAAAATAAATATGGATCCAGGCTCATAATGAGCTCCTTGATATGTGGTTGAGAATGGCTTAGTCTCCATTCAAACCCAGGTTTAAAGCCTTGCAGGGCAGCATAAACCCCACTGCTCTCATTAAGGCAGAAAAAAGAACGAAAAAACAGTTCAGGTGTTTTATAAGATAAGTGAATCAGGAAAGTGTCTATATCCCAAACTGAACGATTGTTGTTCTCTAAAAAAAATAAATTAAAAATTGAATTTTTAACATGGGCGCATGAACACCTTTTATTTCACATTTTATTTCAGTTTTAAATGGCTCCAGCATCTGATTAGGATGCCTCCTGGACGTCTCCCTGGTGAGGTGTTCCAGGCATGTCCCTTGGGAGGAGGCCCAGGGGGAGACCCAGGACACACTAGAGGGACTATGTTTCTCGGTTGGCCTGGGAGTGCCTTGGGATTCCCCAGGAGGAGCTGGCCCAAGTTGCTGGGAAAAGGGACGTCTGGGCCTCCCTACTGAAGCTGCTACCCCGGCGACCCAACCCCGAAAAAGCCGAAGAAGATGGATGGCTGGATAGATGGATGGATGGATGGATGTTGTTTAAAGTAACAGATTATAATTAAAAATGTCTCCGGACCTTCACTGCTTGTTGATTTTCTTTATATTTCTGCTATTGGGGGAGCTCTACTTAGAGCCCCTGGAGAAGGACGAAGAAGAAAGCTGGCTCCTGTTAGCTTGTTGGCTTGCGGCACTAAGGGCTTCTACTGCAAGATGGGGCTTAGTCGGCTTTTTGTCAGGACTCCTGTTTTTGTGTTTGTGTTTCTGTGTTTGTCTCCCTTCCTCCACCAGGAGGCGCCTGGTTCTTGTCCACCTCCTCACACACCTGCTGATGGTTTCCTCCTTAACGGAGTGTTCTTAAGCTGCTGACTGCCACTACCTCGATGCCAGAGTGTTTGCCAGATTTGGGTACTCTAGCCAAGCTGAGTTTTGCTGAGTCAAGCTAAGTTCTTGTCAACCTGAGTTTTAACATTGTTTTGTCTTTTGCCCCTTCGCAGGAAGTCATCCTGCAAACTGGATTTCTCGGACCTTCACTCCCTGGAAGGATCACCTGAGCTTCAAACTGAGCTGGGGTTCAAACAGGAGGTTTGGACCCACTTTCCCCAAGAGATCGTTTGAGCTTCACACTCAGAAAGGGATTCATCTCCACTACAACCCGTTCAAGTACCACAGGAAATCTGAGTGGCAGTCAGTTTCTCCGTTCACCTTCAAACAACCGCATTCTGGGTAAACCCTGTTCTGTCCTCCACCGAATCAGACAAACACTGGAACTACAGTACACAGACTGGAGTCAAGGATTCAACTATTTCTCTGGAAACATGAGTCAGCAACCAAATCCTCTTCTCCAAGTTCACGAATCAAATTTCCCACTGAGCCTGAACTAATCGCTGTGTCTTCCCCTCACTTTTCAGTTCCGGTTGAGCAGTGTTCAGAGCAACACTTCTCTCTGCGTTATCTCTTCAATAAGACCTGTTAAACCTTTCCCCCTGGTCTCCCTGCTTGGTCTTCTGCATTTTGGTCTGAACTTTAGTAAAATCATGACACTTTTTATTTCAGCTCTGCAGGAGTGAAGCCAAGTCTCTTCATTGGTTCGGTAGCTTTAATGAGGCAAATAAATGGCAAAATGTGTGAATTCGAGACATTTGTCCTCCATCATGCCTGCTACTAGCATGTTCTTGTGCTACATTAAAGTTAGCAAATTATTCCTTCATTTCCAGGTTTCCGTTTTTTTCTCTCCACTGTCGCTACGAGTGGAGTCAATGAGTCGATGCAACTGGTTTTCCTTAGATAGAAAACTTTGATTGTGTTGTGAATTGGTGCTATAGAAATAAACTGAATTGAATTGAACTTTGACTTCCCCCTTAGGTGGTTAGGAAAAAGCCAGAGAAAAGACGCACCTTCTTATAAGACGCATAGTTCAAAGTGTGGGGAAGAAAAGTAAAGGGGAGTGGCAGCCTAGTGGTTAGGGCTTGGAATCTTGAGGTTATGAGGGGGCTCGGTTAAATGCTAAGAGCGATTTTTCTTTTTATTTTTTTAACAGTGTCCTGTCTGGCGATGTGGCAATATGCCAAAAGTCCG